AGGGATATACAAACTTAGTATTGTATATGTCGAGGGATATACAAACTTAATATTGTTTATGTCGAGGGATATACAAACTCAGTATTGTGTATGTTGAGGGATATACAAGCTCGGTACGTATTGTGTATGTTGAGGGATATACAAACTCAGTAATGTGTATGATGAGGGATATACAAACTCAGTATTGTGTATGTCGAGGGATTTAAAACTAAATATTGTTTATGTCAAGGGATATACAAACTCAATATTGTTTATGTCAAGGGATATACAAACTCAATATTGTTTATGTCGAGGGATATACAAAATCAGTATTGTGTATGTCGAGGGATATACAAACTTAGTATTGTAGATGTCGAGGGATATACAAACTTAGTATTGTGTATGTCGAGGGATCTACAAACTCAGTATTGTGTATGTTGAGGGATATACAAACTTAGTATTGTGTATGTCCAGGGATATACAAACTCAGTATTGTGTATGTTGAGGGACATACAAACTCAGTATTGTGTATGTCGAGGGATATACAAGCTTAGTATTGTATATGTCGAGGGATATACAAACTTAGTATTGTGTATGTCGAGGGATATACAAACTCAATATTGTTTATATCAAGGGATATACAAACTCAATATTGTTTACGTCAAGGGATATACAAACTCAATATTGTTTATGTCAAGGGATATACAAACCCAATATTGTTTATGTCGAGGGATATACAAACTCAGTATTGTGTATGTTGAGGGATATACAAACTCAGTATTGTGTATGTCGAGGGATTTAAAACTCAATATTGTTTATGTCAAGGGATATACAAACTCAATATTGTTTATGTCAAGGGATATACAAACTCAGTATTGTATATGTCAAGGGATATACAAATTCAGGTTAACAATTTATTCTAGAGTTACCCTAAAAATTAAGAGTTTTGGGGATAAAACTGTAAGCGTTCCTTCTATTATTAACATTTCTTAAATAACTGAATGGAACGTCCTTAAATTTATGGAGGTTGATCAATGATTTTACTGACCTACAGGAGAACAGCTGATAGTAACCAAGACTGGCAGGCACAAGCGACTCGCAAGAAGAAAAAGAAGAAGTTCCTGCAGGTAAGTGTGATCCTGTAAATTACTTGATTTTCACTTCAGGTCACGCGGAGACTCAAGCACTAGATACTCTTTCTTTTGCGAATATCAATTCCGTAAATAGCTGCTAGCAGCATTGAAATAGCATCCTGTCATTCATGAGCTCTAGTATTCACAAATAAAATGATGAAACATATAGTTTGTGAAGTAACCATGATTTACTTCAGTCTGTCTTCCTCAGGAATATGTTTGGTAAGGTGTGCGGTAATGCATCGATCACAGCTTTGATCAAAACTTATCTATCTACCACCTTTTGTACAACTTTAGAGTAACCTATGAAAAGACAAGTCAGAAAGATGTATATCTATATTTCGTATCACAGCCTCTAAAGGAACCTTAAGTAAGAGGCAGATCACTATCAATCAAAAATCTAAAACACTATCATTTAAAGTGAAACAGCCAAAACAACATGTAAGATTGATAGAATATATTTCAACTTAATATCACCTGACAGATACTAGCCAATGAGAATGCTGGAAGAATGACCCCTACAACAGGTCTTCACCTGAATCAGTCCAGGGCAAGTCACCTTGACTATGATGAGGATGCAGACGAAGGTCAGATCTCAGCACGGGAACCGTTACAAAACTGGGAGTACTCGGCTAAAGTCGGTCTGTACAGCAGTCGTCATCAGTACGCCAAGGCAGCCGCCTCCCTCCGCAAACAAACACGCACACCAGTTGATAAGGTACATCTAATTAAGCCAATCAAATCACTCTCTGTCTGCAAACAAACACGCACACCAGTGGATAAGGTATAGCTACTTGAGCCAATCAAATCACTCTCTGTCCACAAACAGACATGCACACCAGTGGATAAGGTACAGCTACTTAAGCCAATCAAATCACTCCCTGTCTGCAAACAAACACGCACACCAGTGGATAAGGTATAGCTACTTGAGCCAATCAAATCACTCTCTGTCCGCAAACAAACACGCACACCAGTGGATAAGGTATAGCTACTTTAGCCAATCAAAACACTCTCTGTCCGCAAACAAACACGCACACCAGTGGATAAGGTACAGCTTCTTTAGCCAATCAAATCACTCTCTGTCTGCAAACAAACATGCACACCAGGCCAGTGGATAATGTAAAGCTACTTCAGCCAATCAAATCACTCTCTGTCCGCAAACAAACAAGCACACCAGTGGATAAGGTACAGCTTCTTTAGCCAATCAAATCACTCTCTGTCTGCAAACAAACACGCACACCAGGCCAGTGGATAATGTAAAGCTACTTTAGCCAATCAAATCACTCTCTGTCCGCAAACAAACACACACACCAGTGGATAAGGTACAGCTACTTTAGCCAATCAAATCACTCTCTGTACGCAAACAAACACGCACACCAGTGGATAAGGTAAAGCTACTTTAGCCAATCAAATCACTCTCTGTACGCAAACAAACACGCACACCAGTGGATAAGGAACAGCTACTTTAGCCAATCAAATCACTCTCGGGCCGCAAACAAACACGCACACCAGTGGATAAGGTATAGCTACTTTAGCCAATCAAATCACTCTCTGTCCGCAAACAAACACGCACACCAGTGGATAAGGTACAGTTACTTTAGCAAATCAAATCACTCTCTGTCCACAAACAAACACTCACACCAGTGGATAAGGTACAGCTACTTTAGCCAATCAAATCACTCTCTGTCCGCAAACAAACACGCACACTAGGGGATAGGTACAGCTATTTAAGCCAATCAAATCACTCTCTGTCCTCAAACAAACATGCACACCAGTGGATAAGGTACAGCTACTTTAGCCAATCAAATCACTCTCTGTCCGCAAACAAACACGCACACCAGTGGATAAGGTACAGTTACTTTAGCCAATCAAATCACTCTCTGTCTGCAAACAAACACCCACACCAGTGGATAAGGTACAGCTACTTTAGCCAATCAAATCACTCTCTGTCCACAAATAAACACGCACACCAGTGGATAAGGTATAGCTGCGTTAGCCAATCAAATCACTCTCTGTCTGCAAACAAACATGCACACCAGTGGATAAGGTACAGCTACTTTAGCCAATCAAATCACTGTATATCCACAAATAAACACGCACACCAGTGGATAAGGTATAGCTACTTTAGCCAATCAAATCACTCTCTGTCCGCAAACAAACACCCACACCAGTGGATAAGGTACAGTTACTTTAGCCAATCAAATCACTCTCTGTCCGCAAACAAACACCCATACCAGTGGATAAGGTATAGCTACTTTGTCTAATTAAATCACTCTCTTTCCGCAAACAAACACCCACACCAGTGGATAAGGTACAGCTACGCTAGTCAATTAAATCCCTCTCATACTTACTTGTTCATGCCTTTTTTTCTTGAGTTCCTTAATACTTTTAAGAAAGTACATACAGATATATTAAAGAACGATAATTTGTATTTTTATATTACATATTGCAAGATCAATAATTTTGTGACAGGTGAACAATCATTTATGCATTGAAAGGAGTTTAATGAAAACTATTCAAAACACTCAAACATGGGCACATTGGAAGTATTTAGATGATGTGCAATTGTGTTTGATATATTGGACAGTAACCATTTTAGCCAAGCGTTAATACTACAAATGATAACTGATCATTAATTATGCTGTAGGGAACAAGACTGCAGCCCCTACAGAAGCCCCCTCCCCACCTTGGCAGTATGGCCCCAGGAAGTAGTACAGGCGGGACCATGGACCCCATTTGGCATGGACACCATTCCCATGGCAAGTCAGACTCCGACACACGTCTTGTGAACACCGCTGGAACAGATCTCCGCACAGGCTGGATGTCTCGCCCCCAGTCCGTCCTAGGAGACGACTCATCGGACATTTTTCACTACACACCCCGGGAACCTACAGAGCTCAAATCTCTCAAGGGAGGCAAGCAGGGTCGGCACCATATAGATTTACGTGGAACACGAGATTAGTATGACAGGATCAGCTCCACATAGATTTACGTGGAACACGAGATTAGTATGACAGAGTCGGCACCATATAGATTTACGTGGAACACGAGATTAGTATGACAGGATCAGCTCCATATAGATTTACGTGGAACACGAGATTAGTATGACAGGGTCGGCACCATATAGATTTACGTGGAACACGAGATTAGTTTGACAGGGTCGGCACCATATGGATTTACGTGGAACACGAGATTAGTATGACAGGGTCGGCTCCATATAGATTTACGTGGAACACGAGATTAGTGTGAAGGTTGAGTAGCAGGAAACAAAAGATTGATCTGATCATTTTATCAGACTTGCATTTATCAATTGCTATGTCATGTTTCACACCAATATTTGTGAGGATGCTACCTGCCTCGTACTCCAGTATAATATTACTGTAAACCTGTGAGAAAATATTTAAATGTCTCTAAATAGTCATACACACATACTCATATTTAAATCAAAAACAAGTCTTGTTTAAGTCAATACGGCTCGAGATTATTTTGTTCCTTGTATTGGAAAAGAAATGTTGCATTGTTTATATATTTATATTTAATCCAAAACCTATAGAAAATATTTATCTCATTATAAATGTGGAAATGATGAATATTTACAAAAACTATTTTGTGAAGTTTAATACTATTTCCTTTTCAATATGAAAAAAGTAATAATAACAAAAGTACTTGAAGAAGAATTCAGAAAAAAATATAACTGAATCGTTTACACTTTTGAAATACGGTATTGGGGTTTCACAACTGGAACAATCCCATGATTATATATTTTGCAATAAAAGTGACTTTATTAAAGACTTCATGACATAGACAACAAAAAGTGTTTCTATTCAGTGTATTAGAAGTTTGTGATGATCTGCGAGTTACTAACACTACTAATGGGACAGTAATGTATGTCTGATATACAAGGCCAGGCTTCAGATTTAATGTATAAAGCAAACTTTTTATCAGCAGGTGGTCATCATTTATTTTAACAATATTTCGAAGAGTTTTGAAAAGTCATTCTTCCAGTATCATACCTGGTGACTTTAGAAACTGTCACATACATTAAGTCAAATGATTGTTGAATTTTTTTTTTTCCATGAAGACTTAACTTTGCAAAATTTGATTACAAGCAGTGATTATTTACTATAACCTACTTGTATTGGCTATAGAGAGAAAGCATACATAGCTGGCCATTGGCTGAGAATCCAATATTTATGCCCATGTGTGATGGTCAATCAGATATTCTTTTTCAAGTTTAATATTACCATGAATAGATAATTATATACATTTGTTTAACAGCCTTTGGTTACCATAGATTATAAGATATACGCTACAATGAGCAGACTTTTTGTCTCTCACATGAGAGGCTAAAAGAGAATGATTGTGATTTTTTTCATTGGATTGGTTGCATTATAAATTTAGGGGTTGAGTGTGCACCTTAAACTTGTAGATTAGAAGACGGTACAGTGACAGTATCTGTCTGTGCTGTCCGACACAGTAAGTATCTGTCTGTGCTGTCCGACACAGTACCTATCTGTCTGTGCTGTCCGACACAGTACGTATCTGTCTGTGCTATCCGACACAGCACAGTGGCAGTATCTGTCTGTGCTGTCCGACACAGCACAGTGGCAGTATCTGTCTGTGCTGTCTGACACAGTACAGTGGCAGTGTCTGTCTGTGCTGTCCGACACAGCACAGTGGCAGTGTCTGTCTGTGCCGTCTGACACAGTACGTATCTGTCTGTGCTGTCCGACACAGTACGTATCTGTCTGTGCTGTCCGACACAGTACAGTGGCAGTGTCTGTCTGTACTGTCCGACACAGTACAGTGACCGTGTCTGTCTGTGCTGTCCGACACAGTACAGTGGCAGTGTCTGTCTGTGCTGTCCAACACAGTATAGTGACAGTGTCTGTCTGTGCTGTCTGACCCAGTACAGTGACAGTGTCTGTCTGTGCTGTCCGACACAGTACAGTGACAGTGTCTGTCTGTGCTGTCTGACACAGTACAGTGACAGTGTCTGTCTGTGCTGTCCGACACAGTACAGTGACAGTGTCTGTCTGTGCTGTCCAACACAGTACAGTGACAGTAAATGTCTGTGCTGTCCAACACATTTATATAAGTAGATTCTGAAAAACATACTCCTAGTTACTGGCACAGTATTAAATTATTTATTTCATGTTCCCTTTCTTTTACATTTTTATAAAAGTAAAATTCCCTCCACAACATTTTGTCTCACATTTTCTTCTACCTCGTCTTGGTTATCATTGTTTTTTAATGAAAAGCTTAGTTCTATATATTGTATGAGAAGATGGGATTAAAGTATAAATAACATGTGTAACTATATCTCTTGTCTTATGTTAACTTAATTGTCGCAGAAACATTCCATATATATACATGTACAGAAATCTAACTGATAAATATAGAAAGATTACTTTGATGGAAAATGTTAATTAATGAAATCTCAATATTCTTATAAGATTACGACTCTTTGAAAAAATGAATATTATAATATAGGTACAATTCTTCTATAAACAACATTTATTTATGTATTCATGTAACAGCAGCATATAAAGCTAAGAGATAGCGCCAATAGACGTCCACCCTGGCTGTGGTGATAAGAATACATACCCTATAATTAGGATTTTATTTTATTTTCTGATAATCGCAATAATTGATGTTGATGTATGTGGCTGTAGACAATCACATGTTAGTAACGGTTGTGATTCACAGGATACTCTCCCACATTGGGACATAGTGTCCTACTTTACATTGGGTGGACGGTCAATCACGCACATTTGTATTTTTGCCAAAGATGAATATATGTTAATAAGTGCTGGTCAGTGTTTAATTCTGAGCCCTAATGACAGGAGCTAGAATAAGGTAGGAGGGCGAGAGGATGTAAAGGGATGAGAGAAGGTCAGGGTGAGAAGGTGAGAAGATGAGAATGTCTCAGGGTGAGAAGATGAGAATGTCTCAGGGTGAGAAGGTCAGAAGATGAGAATGTCTCAGGGTGAGAAGGTCAGAAGATGAGAATGTCTCAGGGTGAGAAGGTCAGAAGATGAGAATGTCTCAGGGTGAGAAGGTCAGAAGATGAGAATGTCTCAGGGTGAGAAGGTCAGAAGATGAGAATGTCTCAGGGTGAGAAGGTCAGAAGATGAGAATGTCTCAGGGTGAGAAGGTCAGAAGATGAGAATGTCTCAGAGTGAGAAAATAGGAAGATGAGAATGTCTCGGGGTGAGAAAATAGAAAGATGAGAATGTCTCAGGGTGAGAAAATAGGAAGATGAGAGATTGTTAGCTGCACATGTCACCCAATATTGCATTAATCACATGTTAAGATGTATCATTCCATGTTTTTGTACCTGTAACCAGTTGTACAAAATACTTATTGCCATAGAACTTGTACTGGTAGATATTGCTCTAGTATGTATTTATACTGGTAGATGTTGATCTAGTATGTATTTGTACTGGTATGAACTGCTCTAGTATGTATTTGTACTGGTAGATATTGATCTAGTATGTATTTATACTGGTACATATTGCTCTAGTATGTATTTGTACTGGTAGATATTGCTCTAGTATGTATTTGTACTGGTACATATTGCTCTAGTATGTATTTATACTGGTATGAACTGCTCTAGTATGTATTTATACTGGTAGATATTGCTCTAGTATGTATTTATACAGGTAGATATTGCTCTAGTATGTATTTATACTGGTAGATATTGCTTTAGTATGTATTTATACTGGTAGATATTGCTCTATTACTGGTACATATTGCTCTATTACCGGTAGATATTGCTCTAGTATGTATTTATACCGGTAGATATTGCTCTAGTATGTATTTATACTGGTAGATATTGCTCTATTACTGGTAGATATTGCTCTATTACTGGTACATATTGCTCTATTACTGGTAGATATTGCTCTATTACTGGTAGATATTGGTCTAGTACGTATTTGTACTGGTAGATATTGGTATAGTATGTATTTGTACTGGTAGATATTGCTCTATTACTGGTAGATATTGCTCTAGTATGTATTTGTATGTACAATATACTGTTCTAGTATTTTGTACTGCTAGCTCTTATACTCCAGATTGCCCAAAAACTCTCCCACCTATAGTATTGACATGATATAGTACATCTTTACTGTTTTAAACAAAGGCTTATGATTTAACTTATTTATATTTGAAGAAGAAGATTAAAAGGGGTCAGTGTAAATTGTAATTATTATCTGAAGGTATGGGAAGGGTTATATTTCGATTGTAGTTATCTGAAGGTATGGGAAGGGTTATATTTAGATTGTAATTATCTGAAGGTTTGGGAAGGGTTATATTTAGATTGTAATTATTATCCAAAGGTATTGGAAGGGTTATATTTAGATTGTAATTATCTGAAGGTATTGGAAGGGTTATATTTCGATTGTAGTTATCTGAAGGTATGGGAAGGGTTATATTTAGATTGTAATTATCTGAAGGTATATGAAGGGTTATATTTAGATTGTAATTATTATCTGAAGGTATGGGAAGGGTTGTATTTAGATTGTAATTATCTGAAGGTATATGAAGGGTGATATTTAGATTGTAATTATTATCTGAAGGTATCGGAAGGGTTATATTTAGATTGTAATTATCTGAAGGTATTGGAAGGGTTATATTTAGATTGTAATTATTATCTGAAGGTATTGGAAGGGTTATATTTAGATTGTAATTAATCTGGGGCCTAGGGAAAGCACCCGATTTGGCCAAAAGATTCTTACTCCTAAAAACATATTCTCATTTCATTGAATTTGTGCACCTTTGACGGCCACAAATGACAGGTAAAACTGTACATTACATATTGTACCTCAGCACCACAATTACCCTGGGTGAGGATCCTCAGCACTATAAACCCTAGGTGAGGATCCTCAGAACTATAAACCCTAGGTGAGGATCCTCAGCACTATAAACCCTGGGTGAGGATCCTCGGCACTATAAACCCTGGGTGAGGATCCTCGGTACTTTAAACCCTGGGTGAGGATCACATGTTTATTTCTACTGTGATTGCCTTTATTACTTTCTACTGTATAAGATGGCAGTTGATGTTAGATTTATATCCGTCCGTTTACAGGTCTCTTCCTTAAAACCTTGTTGGTGAGTCCCTGTTTGTCGCCATTACATTTATATGTATCACATATTTACATTTTAAATTTTGTGTATCAATACTTTATACAGTTTCACATGTGTGTTTTCAGTTCACTACAAACAGATGCCTTATTGTTGTTAGTGTAGTTGCTCTGTATGTACAGAATTATATTATATTCCTTGTTTTTTAACTACCAAGAGATGTGTGTTATTTAATAAAATCAGTTATTATTAATATAGATATATATAAATATATAAATCATAATTTCACATATTGACTATAAACACATCATCAAATGTGCCATTTATATATTCAATATGATAATAATAAACAATATTGAGTATTGCTACTTTGTTGACTGATTCCTTTTCACCGACTCCTGATTGGAAGGTGCTGATGTCATTTCCCTGTCTCTGATAAGGTGTAACTACCTCAATGGTAGCAACGCATTAAATCTTTCAAATTAGTCATTAATCAATTAATGTTAATTAAGATTTGTATGCTCCCGAAACAAAATTCAGAATCTTGTCTCCCGCCTTTCTCTGTTTGTCCGGGCCTGCCGAAGAAAGCTCAAAGGAATAGGGATATATGTAGGTAGACAAGGCAGTGTGTCGCATTCCATATGATAATCCCCTACCAAATTGCAAATTTAGACAAAAATAGGCCAATAATGAGAAATAACTTCTAAATGGCGGCCATATTGGTTTTCCAATGATGAAGTGTACGTGAGCAAATGTTCCAGAAAGGTTTCTAGGTCACCTGAGCTTTAGCTCAAGTGACCTAGTGCTATCTGTCTTCGTCCGTCGTCGTCTGTCATCTGTCTTCGTCCGTTAACATTTTACATTTTCAGCTTAAGCTGAAATTCTGGCAAAGGGATTTCATTAATAATTCATGGGAAGGTTACTGACATCTCCCTGATCAAGTGTTGTTATTTTCCGGGTCGATCAGAAATCCAATATGGCCGCCGCGGCCGCCATTTTGAAAAACTATTTCAAACTTAAAGTCAAGTCCTGCTAGACCAATTGAACTGAAAGTTTGTAGGAATGATCAACTCATGGTCCTGAAAAAGTGTTGTTATTTTTCGGGTCGATCAGAAATCCAATGTGGCCGCCACAGTCGCCATTTTGAAAAACTATTTCAAACTTAAAGTCAAGTCCTGCTAGACCAATTGAACTGAAAGTTTGTAGGAATGATCAACTCATGGTCCTGAAAAAGTGTTGTTAATTTTCGGGTCGATTAAAAATCCAATATGGCCGCCACGGTCGCCATTTTGAAAAACTATTTCAAACTTAAAGTCAAGTTCTGCAAGGCGGATTGAACTGAAACTTTGTAGGAATGATCGACTCATGGTCCTGAAAAAATGTTGTTAATTTTCGGGTCGATCAGAAATCCAATATGGCATCCCTATACATGTCCTTGTTCTACATCCCTATACATGTCCTTGTTCTACATCCCTATACATGTCCTCGTTCTACATTCCTATACATGTCCTCGTTCTACATTCCTATACATGTCCTCGTTCTACATTCCTATACATGTCCT